TTTACATATTACAGATTTTCTGACAACTGCATACTTGAAAAGTTGTCATATTACAGAATGGCCAAACTATTTACAGACAGCATCATTAATATTAATGCACAGTATTATTTGTAAACACAAAAAATAATCTTGTTAATCTTTGTTAATGAATTGTTTTGTATATTTTTCTTTAAATTGTGAACAATTTTAAATGCATACATAATTCATGTATATAGTTTTTGATGCACACATACAATTTACAAGTAATTTTACATACAAATAATTCATAAAATAATTTTGCAAAAATTAATATTTTTAAAATGTCTGATTTAATGGAAGAAATTATTGAAGCATCTGAAAATGAAAATGAATCATTTGAAGAAAGTAATTTGATACAACACAATTTAGCTGAATTAGGATTAGAGGAATATGAATCAAATACTTTGGTACAGAAAAATGTTCATGAACTAAAATTATTTTTTGGAAACAGATCAAACTGTAGATGTTGAAATGAAAATGAAATTTGTTTTGAAAAAATTGGGTTTAAAAATTTTTTTGAAAGATACATGGAATTGAAAGGATTAGAAAAAGATATGAAGGATCTTTGTATTAAAACACAATTAATGACATTTGAATTAGTAAATGAAAATTCAACTAAATCACATTATAATTATAAATATAATTCATCAATACCTATTTGTCAAAAAATGTTTTTGAAACTAAATAATATTGGTAGAACACTCTTAGATACATTGCAAGCACATTTAAAAACAAATGGTCTGGAAAGTTGTATTCAAAAAGAATTCCTAAAATCAACTCACACTCATTAATTAATGCTGAAGTAGCAAATACCTTTAAGGAATTTGTCTTACAATATGCAAAAATATATGGTCTTCCATCTCCAATGAAGTTTAGAGATGATCCAGGACCATTTATTTATTTGCCAACTGAAATTACACATAAAAATGTGTATGAAGAATATAAAAAAAACTTACTTTTGGTAAATTCAAATTTAAACTTTAGACCTATGCCAATTATAGCAGTACAGACTTTTTGTAAACTGTGGCAACAGCTAACACCAGAAATCAAATTCCTAAGCCATGCAAGTGATCTGTGATACATGTTATGGATTTGATACAAAATTGAGGTCAACAAAAGATAAAGATGAAATTGCAAACATTAATTTTGAATATGAAAAGCATAAAAAAATTGCAATGCATTAAAGAGAACATTATAACAATATTATTACAAAAGATAATACTGATTTTTCAATAAATCACATTTGTTATGATTGGGCACAAAGTGTTGTAGCTCCTTATTCTCCTCAACAAATTGGATAAATTTATTTTAAGTCTCCTTTTAATGTACATCTCTTTGGTGTGTGTAGAACTGATGGAAATAAAAATTATCAATTAAATTATATCATTGGAGAAGATGAATTCCCAAAAGGAACTCACAAAGGAGCTAATACCACTTTAAACATGGTATATGACTTTCTTAAAAAAGTTGATCATGCTGACAAAAAAGACCTTTATGTAACATGTGACAATTGTTCTGGACAGAACAAAAATAATTTGTCTTTATGGTTCTGGTCATGGATAATAATGCTAGGTTGGTATGAGAATATTTACATCAATTTTATGATTTCTGGGCATACAAAATTTATTTGTGATGCAAATTTTGGACATATTAAAAGTAAATACAAAAACAGGCACATAAATACTGTTGATGGTGTTGTAAAAGCTATAAAAGATTTAGCAGAGTGTAATGGACCTATTAGATATGGCAATGGCTCAAATTGGAGTTGATATAACTTTACTTTATTATTTGAAGGACATTTCCAAAGTCTGCCAAATATAACAAAATATCATCATTTTCATTTCAGTAGTTTATCAAATGATATTAGAAAAGTTTATGTTTCAAAAAAATCAGGTGGCACTGAAATTCCTTTCAAACTTTTAAAGGTACATCTAATTGACTGTTTTTATCAAAATTATCATCTTGAAATTGCTCCATTATCAGAAGATAGAAAAAAATATTTGTATAACAAAATTCATCGGCATGTAGACCCAGAATTTAGAAATATTCTTTGTCCTAATCCTAATTAGTTTTTATTATAATTGAAACTTGTCATTATGATATTTTAAGTTCTATGCTAACAAAAATATACATAGATTAGGAAAATGTGGTTGAGTAATCATTTATTTTGTTTTTTTGCCTTTTTTTTGTTAATTTTTTATTTATAATTGTAATTCTATAAAAAATAATTATTAAAAATATGATAGATTGGAGTTCATTATCTTAAAATATGAGGGGCGCTCTAGGAAATGAGGGGTCCGAGCTATTTTTAAAATTTAAAATATTTTGAGTAAACAACCGATTAAATTTTGTTACACGAAAGTACCCCCGGTATTATGATTTTCGTGTTACATATTACAGTCAGGATTTTTTTCCAAATTTGGAATTTCTAGTAACGAGATGAGAATGTTGCACACCATTGATAAAAAAAAAATAAAAAAAAAAAATTTTTTTTATTTCCTTCGTTATAAAAAAATTTGTTTAAAACAATAATAATAATAGTATTTATTATTATAATTATCATTATTATACTATTAATATTATTAATATTATTACTATTATTATTAATATTAAATAGTTTGTTATTAGAATCACAGTTATCATCACGTCATTACCAACACTATAAGTTATTACTTATCTAACGGTTTGTTATTAATTATTAATACTACCACTTCACATCTATGGTAAATATGTGAATTTAACTTTTCAATTAATATTATTTATTAATTTTTCTATAGTTGTTGAAACAATTCCTGGATCAAAAAATTATTTTCAAACTTGTGTGGTTTCCCTTCCTAAAAATGAGCTATTATAGCATTAACGAAATGCCATTCAATGAGCTGTTAGGCATGACAAAGCAATCAATTAATACTGTAGAAAACCAATCTATGATTATGTTGCATAATATCAAGAATAATTCTAACTCATCTGAAGCTGCGTGCACATCTAAGAATGTTTATTTATCTCCAACCACCAATTGGTTACTCCCAATAAAGGGGTATCAAAAACCATGTCTCGCCTGCCAGTATTTTGGACACATTCAGATGGCTTGTCCTAATATTTTACAATCATATCGTGCAGCATGCAACAAATGTTGGTTGCCCGGACATGAATTTGGTACTTGTAAGTTTGTAGAACATGAAATTCCATTTAGAGATGGTTATATTAAGCCAGAGGTGCTTATCAGAAAACATATAATGATAAATGAAGGTAATAGAAGATTTTTTACACAAATGATTAAAAATATTATTTAATCTTTATAATTTATTAACATTAATAAATTTTTTTTTAAAAGCAACCACATCATCCAACACATAAACAAATATAAATAGATGTATATAAATAGACATATATATAAATAATATATATAAATACAAATATATATATAAATATATATAAATAATATATATAAATATATACAAATATATATATATAAATATATATAATTTTTTTGTTTGGATGATAATTTTATATCAAATTTTTTTTATGAAAGTTCATTTGGATACTTGGTGCGTAGATGGACTTTCTTATACATATGTTTTTTTGAACCAAAAAATTCATTTGGTTATTGGGAATTTTTTGGTTTAAAATTTTTTTTTGTATATACCAATTTATTAAATTTAAATAAAGCAAATAAATAATTAAATAAAATATTTTACACATAACATTTACATGATAATAATCATATCATCTTGTTGCATGGCATGTATGTTCATTAGTGTTGATCCATTTATTTTAACACAAGTCAAACCTTATAATAAACAATAATTTATGGAATAAAGCAATAATAACAACAATAATAAATTTTTTTATACAGTTATACACTGAACAAAATAAGTAACTCTTACAATAGTTATATTCATTTATGTTAATATATTCTACTTGTTGGAACTCAGAATCAATTAATTTTTTTATTTTTTCTGATTCTAATAAAATATTATTGTTATCCTGATCTTGTTTCTCCAAGATTTCTTGTTGAATTGAATTATTATTAGTCATCTTAAATTTTTTTCATTGACCTTCAAAAAAACTAGAGCTATCTTCAGCTTTTAATTTCTCAAGTAATGAATCATTATTAACGATTTGATTGTAATGTCTTTCACAGATTGAATAATCATTTAAAGAATCAATCAATGAAAATAATTCAGTAAAATACTTAGCAAATAGTTTTACACAACCCTTTACTTTATCTCCTGATGCTTGTCTAAAACGTTGTTCACTTTTAATATCACATTGTTTTAACTGTTTTTCAGAGTATTTGTCAGAGTGTAGAAAATAAGCAAGGTAAAGTGCCAGCAAATGGTCTTGATGTTCTATTCACTGAAGTTCAAAAGAAAAAACGGAAAAATTATTTTAAAAAACCAATAAACAAACTTTTATTACATAAATTTAGGCAATAGCATACTTTCTACAAATTAACAGATTGTTGTGGATTTTGAATGGATTATGAGAAAACAAGTTTGGTAGTATTTATTTCAATTATTATAATTAGAATGTATTAATATACTCTAAAAACAATTTATTTAACAAGTAAATATTATTATTTGCTGTTACATTCACCATTGATTGACAAAAATATGTTAATTATGGACAAAGACAACTATACAAAGATGAATAAATAAAGAACACATACAAAGATGATTGATTAATAAATGTTAGAAGAGAAAAAAAACAGAATTTTTAATAAATAAATTTTAATCTATGTATTCATGCATTAATTAATACATAGTATTATTTGTAAACACAAAAATAATCTTTGTTAATCTTTGTTAATAAATTGTTTTGTATATTTTTCTTTAAATTGTGAACAATTTTAAATGCATATATAATTTTTGATGCACATATACAATTTACAAGTAATTTTACATACAAATAATTCATAAAATAATTTTGCAAAAATTTAAAATGTCTGATTTAATGGAAGAAATTATTGAAGCATCTGAAAATGAAAATGAATCATTTGAAGAAAGTAAT